TTCATTCTTTACACTCTTCCTCACAAATCATACACGGCATCACCCTTCGTTCTTTAACACTCTCTCACCAAAACAATGCACGATATCACCCTTCGTGCTTTAACACTCTTCCTCATCCAAACAACAATCACAAACAATAGGGCAAGGGAATAAATGAAATTACAATAAGAATCTCGGCAAGGGAACAATATCAAAAGAAACATCAACATCCCGGCAAGGGAGATAACATTAAAAGCAACAATATCCCGGCAAGGGAAGCCACGTAATAATTCTCTTCTTTTTCTCACTTTTACTTCACAACTCACTTCACAACTCGAGCCAATTCTCTAAAAGGTTCAATTACTACTTATACTTTCACATTTCATTATACAACTTGAGCCAACGCTCCTCAATGTTTAAATGTCACAATTTCTTCCACAAACTTTGCTTAACAATAGAAATCATCACCAAAACATGAATAATACAACGAAGTCATAATAATCACAATATAAGACTCACGGGCATGTTTGACACCAACGTATAGATACGCGTCACCATGCCTACATGTCGTACTCAACAAATACCACATAGCAAATAGGACTCGACTCCTAATCCCTCAAGCTAAAGTTAGACCAAACACTTACCTCGATGCCACGAACACAATTCAAGTCTCTACTATCGTTTTACCTCTTGATTCCACCACCAATTTGCTCGTATCTAGCCACAATTTACTTAATTACATTAATAAATGCTAAATTAATCAATTCTAATGCATGAAAATAAGTTTTCCAAAGTTTTTTCAAAAAGTCAAGAATCGCCCCCAGGCCCACATAGTCAAAACCTGAGGTTCGAACCAAAACCCGATACCATTCCTCCACAAACCCAAATATATAATTTGTTTTGAAATCGGACCCCAAATCGAGGTCCAAATCCCCAATTTTTAAAAAACCTAGGTTCTATCCAAAACACCCAATTTTCCCCATGAAAATCATTGATTTTGAGTTGAAATCATGTAAAAAGATGTTAAAGATTGAAGAAAACTAGTTAGAAATGACTTACAATCGATTTGGAAGAGAAGTTGTCTTTGAAAAATCGCCCAAGAGTGTTTTGGTTTAGAAAGAGTGTGAAAATGAAAGATTTTCGGCTAAGTTATAAAATTGCAGGTCGCAGATGTAGCAATTGCGCTCGCATTTGCGAAGTCGCATTTGCGAACAATATGTCGCATTTGCACGACTGGCCAAAAGGGGAAACATCGCATTTGCGATAAGTTCCTCGCATTTGCGAGGTAGGCTAGCATGGGCTATTTTCGCATTTGCGACATAGCCTTCGCATTTGCAAACTCGCATTTGCGAGTCAGGCTTCGCAAATGCGAAGCCTGCAAGCCTGCAATAGAGCAGCTGGAACCTGCAATTTTCCAAGTCCAAAATCTACTCTGTGGCCTATCCAAAACTCATCCAAGCCCTCGGGGCTCCAAACTAAACATGCAAACCAACCTAAAAACATCATACGGATTTGCTCGTGCATTCAAATCACTAAAATAACATCAACAACTATGAATTTAGCATCAAAATCATGAAATTTCTTAAGAACTTCAAATTTTCCAATTTTCTCAAATACGGTCCGATTCATATCATTTCAAGCCCGTTTCTTACCAAATTTCACACTCATCTTAAATCATATATAAGACCTGTACCGGGCTCCGGAACTAAAATACGGGCCCGATACCATCAAGTTTAAACATATTTCATTTCTAAAAACTCATAAATACTCCAGAAAAGAATTTTTTATAAAAATTTATTTCTCGGGCTTGGTACCTCGGAATTTGATTCCGGGCATATGCCCAAGTCCCATATTTTTCTACAGACCCTTCGGAACCGTCAAAACACGGGTCCGGGTCCGTTTACCCAAAATATTAAACGAAGTCAACTTAAATCTATTTTATAGGCAAAATTCATCATTTTCACAAACTTTTCACATATTGGCTTTTCGGCTACGCGCTTGGACTGCGCACGCAAATTGAGGTGATGCAGAAAGAGGTTTTTAAGGCATCTGAACATAGAATTTGTTTTCTAAAACAAGTGATGACCTTTTGGGTCATCACATCAATTTATTCTCAACTTTTGCTTTATATTTTTTGAAAGTCTCAAAATCCTACTCTTTTGTTCTTAATGGAAAGACATATGTATGTCTTGAATAATCATCACTAAAAGTAATAAAATATCTCTTTTCATTACAAACAATCCATCTCACAAATACTAGTGTGAATTAATTCCAAAAGTGTGTAGTTTCTTTCAACTGTCTTAAAAGGCTTTTTTGTTATCTTGCACTTACTACAAGTAAGACGCTTAGCAGTATGATCCTTTCCAAAAATTTTAATTAATCCTTGATTCACCGCAAGTTGAATGGATCTAAAATTCATGTGACCTAAACGTTCATGCCATAAATCCAGAGACTCCACAATATAAGCAGAAATATTTTCATTATCAATATTGAGTTTCAATATGACATTCATAGCATAGCCTTTTCCCACAAATATGCCATTCTTAGATAAAATAAATTTATCTGATTCAAAAATCATTTTAAGCCCATGCTTCGAAAGAAGTGTACCTGACACCAAGTTCTTCTGAATATCAGGAACATACAATATGTCTTTCAACGTGACCATCTTTTTGGAAGTAAACTTCAACTACAGTTCCTTTTCCAACAACTTTAGCAGAGGATTTCCCATATACATGACTTTATTGTCCCCTACTAATTCATAGGTCTTAAAAGTATTTCGATCACCTGATATGTGGCGAGTTGCATCGATGTCTATCCACCATTTGCCTTGATTTTCAGCTACAAATGCTTTTGTGACCATCGTCACAAGTTCATCATTTCTATTAATTACTTTTCCTTTCTTTTTTTCAGCTTTAAGATTTTTACAATCACGAGCATGGTGACCAACTTTATGACAACAACACTCACTTGACTTAGAATTAGCATTATTACGCTTGAAATTTTTACTTTTCTTTACCTTTGTAAATTTCTTGTTATCTGGTTCCCTTTTGGTTGATTTCTCTTCAACCACATCAGTTTTCATGACAGGTTTTTTGAAAATATCATTGTCACAATTTCTAATCTCTTGTTCAATTTGTAAATGTTGCAACAATTATTCAAGAGTCAAATCTTCCTTCTTATGTAAGAGTTTGTTTCTGCACTCTTTCTATGACAGAGGAAGTTTTGAAATAAGAGCACCAGAAATAACAATTTTATTAGCTATAAACTGGAATTCTGCAATTGATCAATGATTGACTTGTTATCAATCATCTTGAATTCCATATAATTTGAAACAAGAAACTTCTTTGAGCTCGCCTCTTCTGCCAAATAAATAGCTTGAAGAGTATCCCATAGTTCTTTGGCAAATTTTCACTAAGCAGAATATTTGTCATAATATTTGTTGGTCATTGCTCCAAGAATATAATTCTTACATAAATATTCATCATCTTGCCACTTAGCAATTTGATTCTCCAATCAAAGTAGCCTCATTAGTTGCTACCTCAGAATTAGAAGCATTGAGACAAGGTTGTTCAAAAAAGATATGTTAACTTCAAACACCGTGAAAAGAATTTCATCTTTCCATGCCATCTAAAAAAGTCTTTGCCATCAAATATTTTAGAATTTGGATTTGGCAAAGATGAAATACCACTCAAAATTAATGTAGTAGCCATAGAGATAGCTATCTTCAAATTGTTAGAACAAGGATAACAACAATATTAGAAAACAAAAATAAACTTGCTTGGCTTAAAGGTACATAGAGAAAACGTTTCTTGAAGATAGTTGGAGTCTCTTCCACGATCAAACAGAACAATAAATGACAACTCTATCTTCGGAATTCAACTAAGCCATACAACAAGTAGCATTTAAGAATGTTGTTCTTCTATTCTTGAATCTATGATTTCACCATTTGATCAGTGTCCCTTATAATATTTTAAGGGAAAAGTAGTTTGTGAATTGCTTGTATATTTTCACAGAAAATCAGTCCTATTTATAGGCTAAAGACTCTTGAAGACAAGTTTTTTTCATTTAATAAAGATCATGGATTTGGAAGATCGAGATGTTTTTGTAAAACAATAATAATAATAATAATAATAATAATAATAATAATAATAATAATAATAATAATAATAATAATAATAATAATAATAATAAATCAAGAATGAAATCACTTTCATTTACTTTGGAAAATAAAGAGCCTTCTTATCAAATACATTATTTCCAATTTATCGAAACACTGATTCTAACAATAAGGATAAAAAGGAATATGAACTGCTTTAATTTGCTGTGGGAGACGCATGTATGTTAACCAGGATTAGCAAATCTTTGATGGCGGTGGACGGAAAGGGAGACACACATTGAACGGGCAACACACATTCAGACACACATCTCATCCAAAACCCTTGACACACATTCTGTATGTATCTTCACTGCCCAAAATTGTTCTTATTCCATTGTGAACTAGTGCACCTATTCAGATACGTTGTTAGTCTGTTTTATGCGAATGAAAAAAACCTTCCATTGATCACTTCATGTCCATGCTCCGACCCACAAGTTCTACTTACTGGGATGCCTCTGATTGCTGAAGTTTTAGCTTTTCGACATGCTATGGAGATGGGGGCTTGGATAACAGTTAAATACTCCATTAATGATGCAAATTAACTTTTCTCTGAGACAACCTATTTAATCCGAAAGTTGAACAATGGTCAAATAGATTGCTGGGAAGTTCAACGTTGGCCTGTGTTAATGTCTATTCATATATTTGTATTTTCTTTTGTGCATATAGATTTGCAAGATTAAAAAGGGAACCTGCTTTTGGGAAACGAATCGCCAGTGGACTGAGGGGCCAAAAGACAGATGCCTTCTTAGCTTAAAGTGAAATAGAATTAATTTGCACCCTTAGCTTTATTCTCTTCGAAACTTATCAGAATCATATTCTTTATTTTTTCCTTTTAAGTTTTGGAAATGCGATTCATTATTCGACTCTTTCAATGAATATTAGGCTATTAGGAAATTGCAGATAAATAATTAAGTGCATTCTCTGCACTAGTAGTTGTGATTGTAGAGCAACAATGGGTATGTCAATATCCAAGTTTGTAAAAATGCTATTTGCAAAGAAAGAAATGAGAATATTAATGGTGGGACTCGATGCAGCTGGTAAAACAACCATCTTGTACAAATTAAAACTTGGGGAGATTGTCACTACCATTCCTACAATTGGTATTTGCTATCTCGACTCTTTATGCGTTTGAATGTCTTTACGTTCAATTACCAACAAAAAGAACAGAAAATATATCCCAAAAAAAAACTTTCCTAACTGATTTTTTTTTGTCCTTATTAACTTATCATGTGCATTGAAATTGACTTGCAAAAAGTTAATCTCCATATTAAATTTGATATGATAACCATAGACTGAGTGTTGCAATACGGTTAAATTGCACTAATAATATAAAAATTCTATATATTGTTAGCGTACAGAGTACAACTTAATCTCTTGGTATATTAATCCCTAGGATTTAACGTGGAGACAGTGGAATACAAGAATTCGAGCTTCACTGTATGGGATGTGGGTGGACAAGATAAGGTATTTAACATGTTAACACTCGAAAAATCCGAATCAAAGCTAATTACTTGGTTAATTGAGTTATCTAATTTTTTACTTTGTTCTACTAATTTTACAGATCCGGCCTCTATGGAGGCACTACTTTCAGAATACTCAAGGTCTAATATTTGTAGTAGATAGTAATGATCGAGATAGAATTACAGAAGCTAGAGATGAGCTCCATCGCATGCTTAATGAGGTAATATTACAACTGATATAAAAGTTAAAAGTATTAATTGACTTTAACCGAAATTAATTATGGTTTAAGCAGGAAGAATTACGAGGCGCTACTATTCTTGTGTTTGCCAATAAACAAGACCTTCCAAATGCTATGAGTGTTGCAGAAATTACTGATAAACTTGGTTCATATTATACAGCCTTAAAAAGATATTTCATAGCCTTAACTACCTTTTATATTTCTCTCAAATGTTTCACTTAATTAACGCTTCACCAATTAGAGCACTAAAGATGAAACTGGAAAAAAAAAAAAGTAATATAAATGCTTCTAGTTTTTTTTTTCAATGTCAAATATTTTAAAAACAGTTTCCAACTAAAATAGCTGAGGAATTTGCCTGTGTGTTGTCTCTGTCTTTTCGGTACATCCAGAGTGCTAGTGCAACATCTGGACAGGGGCTTTATGAAGGTCTTGATTGGTTATCAAATAATTTTTCTCGCAAGGCAAGAACATTTTGGCCTTTTAGTAATCTCTTCTCTTTCATCTTTTTCAACCAAAAATAAAAAAATTATTTACTAACTGTAATTTTACTTGGTTAATAAATCATCATTGCAGGCATAAATTCAAAGCTACATCCAACGCAAGAAGTTCCAAGTCTTTAAATAAAAACGCGTCTGTTGAAATTAATATGCTATGGCTATACATTCTGTTGCAAGACTTTTCATATTTTCTTTTACCTATAGTGATTAATGACCATACTTTTGCTTGCTTATTTTTACTTTCTGTTTGTAGAATAATGTGGGGCAGGGGCGACTGTATGTTGCGTTTGAGCGTTTTTTTACTTGTGGTTGAAATTTTTCTTTATTATATCTAATTTTGTCGCAAAAGATTTTTACAAAAGAATATAAATTCACAAATGGGTGTACTACTAGCATATAAATGTGAGAAACTACTAGCATACCTGTATCACGCATGAAAATGGATGAGGTATCATCCAATGATATATATTGATTGGTTGGGTCTTTTAATTTGTAATTTAAGAACTCCTACCTGAATCCTTAAAAAGCATTAATCAAGTAAGCCCCATGCATCAGTGGCGGAGGCAGGATCTCCACGAAAGGGGTTCAAAATTTTTTTTTTTGTATCTAGCAGGAATTGAACTTATGACCTTATGTAGATTTTGAACCCCCTTGACAACTAAAATACACTTTTGGATTGTGTTAAGTGAGTTCAAAACTTAATATATCGAGGTAAAAAATAGATTTTGTCTTATATATACATTGTATTTTTTCGGCGAATGGGGTTCAGGTGAACCCCTTGCGCCCCTAAATCCGCCCCTGCCACACATATCATGACACAAAGCTCTATTTGATTGTTTTTTCCCCCATTAAACATATTGCTTAAGTTAGTCTAGTTCTTTCTTTCTCTTTGTAATTGCTGCTTCGATGCACCATAGTAACTCTCTAAACTCTGGGACGTACCATTATAGGCAAAGCCAGAATTTGAAGCATATAGGTTCATAATTCTATTCCTTTTAAGTTATTAATTTTTAAATTAATAATTTATACATACAAAATAATATTTTTAAGGCAAACTTGTACCTTGGTCTCTAGCTTGATACCGTTGAATAGGATTTTACTGCTTTCTCTTTATATTTTGTCCATAATTTCCGTTCTTACTTTGTTGATATATACACTGATATCTAATTAGTGGATTTTTATGATGAGATATCTCATACATTCTGGACATAGTCAGGGGTCGTGCAAATTTTTGGAAGAGCCATAGAGCAATTAGTGCAGGGCCTCTAAGGAATTAGTTACGACTTATGAGTTGTATGACACTTGTGCTCCAGCACAATTAATCCTCTTTGTTTGGGCTGTACTTTAAACACATAAAATTTATTAAAAATAATTTAATAAATAATAAAAATATTATTTATGCAGTAAAATGCTTGAAAATAATATCTTAATATTATAAAAATATAAAAATATTATTTTAGCATAAAAAATTTAATAAATACAATTATGTATAGAATATAGGTTATTATTATAAATAGTATTAATAGAAATAGAAAAAATGCAAATATAATCGTGCAAAGGAGATAAAATCTTATAAAAATGGGTAAGGGTAGAGAATGATAAATATATATTTAGACAAATTACATGCAAAAAAATTTTAAAGCTTTAAAAATTTATAGGAGATTATAGAAAATGCTTATAAAATTGGGTAATAATGTAAAATAATATTTTAAAAGTATATGGAATATTCTATAAAATATGGGGGCAAAATTGGGTATTAACACCAGACAGAGTTGATACCGGTGGCAGAATTCCTGGATCATGGGGTCAAGTCCCCCGCTCAATGAGAATGAGCCCAAAGTGAAGGGGTGCGTATAAACGTACGTAAAACCTGTCACGCCCCTTTTCTACCCCAAAAAGATATGTGTTATGGATTATTGTAGGTTAAAGAGTTTTTTCACTTAAAGTGACAAATTTGAGCAGGGATTATTTTATTTACAAAGTCGCCACTTGGAATTGAGTTTTTGGTGTTCCAAGTCACCTTTTATTTGAATTCCTAGTCAAAGGAAGGTTTGACTCTATATTTATCGGTCCACGAAAATAAAGTTCGGGTAAGAAATTCTGTTGACCGGAGAAAAAGTGTAAGGCATTTTCCGAGTCCCGTGGTTCTAGCACTGTCGCTTTATTGACTTAAAACTTGGCTTGAATTTATTTTTGACAAACTGTGCTTCATATGATTTTCATGTTTTACCTATCCGCTTTTATTTCATGATTATTAAAAAAATAATTTGGATAAATTACGTTGTTATAACCACGCTACGCAAGGGAATGCGTGATCGAATAACAAAATTAATTAACTTATCATAATTGCACCTCGCAAGCGAATCCGAAATCATGACAATAAATTATTTGTAGTACTTTTGAGAAATTATTACATTTGAGAAAATTAATTCTTGAAAATTATTAAAAGTCAAATATCGCGCTACGCAAGCGAATCCGCGATTTTAGCAAAGGATTAATTAAATTAAAAATTAACAAAAACTAATGGGTATGGTATGAGATTGTTGAATTAACTTATTGAATGTTAAATATCACGCTACGTAAGCAATTCCGTGAATAAAAAAGGATTAAAGTGTGCCTACTAATTGCCTAGTCCTTAAATTAATTATAAAAGAGACTAAGTTATAAAGTTATTTAATAAAATAAAAATCTAATTTTTATTGAGGCTATTCAATTAAATAAAAATATAAAAGCTGGACCAACTTGTTATTTTATAGAAGGGCAACCTTCTTATCAAAAATGGGCCGACTTTTATTAGTATTCCAATTTAAAGGAAATGAGGCAGCTATTTGGGTATTTGAACTGTTGGCTCGTTTTGGGCCACTTTGGCCATTGGGTCAACCATTGATTTAATAAGAATTGGCCAACTATGCTATTAACTATAAAGATAGACTAGCTGATGGATTTTATTGGTGTTGGGCTACTAGAAATTATTTAGCCCGAAAGGGATTTCTTGAACCAAACCCCAAAAACCCATACTGCTCTAAACTTAAGCATTTGTATTTATATATAAGACAAAAAAGAAGATATTTTTTAGTTTATCATATAAACATTTAAAAGTCACATGCAAAAAGCTTAACTTTGATAACTTACTATCCAACCCGGAATTCCTTAAAATATATATATAAAAGAGCATTCTTTCTAAACAAACTTAATTTTACTTCCCAATTCACTCTAAACAGAAATACTAACTCAACAATGATACACAACTTTTCAGGTTAAAACATATTTTTAACAACCTTTTAATGATATTAAAACTAAGGAGGAACTTCTTAATATCCATTCTTATATTTGTAATAAAGAACAAATAAATAAATAAAACATGCTTTATCTACTTAAACGCTTTAACATGTATTGGAACCTATTTGCACAAAACTCTGCCAGTACAAATGAAAATGTAGGGAAACAAAGGTTATGTCAAACTTAAAGAAAACTAGAACAGACTAGTACAATTTCAAAGTCACAAAAAGAAAAATCTTGGACCAAAGAATTTCAATACAACTGCTATTAAGCTTAAACCCCACCATACATAAATCTTCGACTTAAACTCTTAACGTTTCTCTAAGTCATCGACTACCGAAAGATTTCAAATGTATCTCTAAACTCTTAAAGGGTCATCACTTGCTTTTAAAAAATGATAAATTTTGACTATAAAATGAATAAATTTGATTTCGGTCAACATTTTGGGTAAACGGACCCGGACCCGTAATTTGACGGTCTCGGAGGGTCCGTAGGAAAAATATGGAACTTGGGCGTATGCCCGGAATCGAATTTCAATGTCCCAAGCCCGAGAAATGAATTTTTAAAGAAAATTATTTTCTGAAATTGTTTAAAGGAATTTGAAATGAATTTCGATTAGAACATATTAGTATCGGGCCCATATTTTAGTTCTGGCACCCCGTACAGGTCTTATATATAACTTAAGATGATTCTGTGGAGTTTGGTAAGAACCGGAATCCGTTTGAAGTGATTTGGACCGTAAATGCAAAGTTTGATGTTTTAAGAAGTTTTGAAATATTTCATTGATTTTGAGGTTTAATTCATTGTTATTGAGGTTATTTTGGTAATTTAATCGCACGGATAAGTTCGTAAGATGTTATTGAGTTAGTACGTATGTTTGGTTTTGAGCTCCGAGGACTCGGGTGTGTTTCAGATGTGTTTCGGAAGGTTTTTGGAACTCAAAAGTTGCAGGTTTCTGCTGTTCAGTGCCCAGGGATTTTACTCTTCGCATTCGTGTGGTCCCTCTCGCGAACACGTAAGGCAAATTTCCCAGGTGCCAGATTTCTTCTTCGCGAATGTGAAGCTTGAGACGCAAACGCGAGGCTGAGGTGGGAATACCCTTCGCGAACGCGTCCATGCACTCGCGAACGCGTAAGGTTAAGGCCTAAGGAGAGGTCACTATTTTGTGCATCGCGAACGCGGCCACTGGCCCGCGAATACGTAGGCTTGAGGAGCCAAAGCTCTGCGAACGCGAGCCATCTTCCGCAAACGCGAAGGTCTGTCAAACCTAACTCATCGCGAATGCGATGACCAATTTTGCCTAGTTATTTTAAGTTTCAAAACAGAATGCCATACGGGATTTTCATTATTTTTCACAAACTTCATCTTCTCCACACCTCTTAGGCGATTTTTGAAGAAGAACTTCACCATAGCTTCATAGGTATGTAATCTTAAGCTCGTTTTCTTCCATTTTATCAACACCCACTAGATTTCTAGGCCTAAAACATGTGATTAAGGGTAGAAAATTAGGGATTTGGGTAGAGTTAGGGCTTTTGATTATTTGGGAATTTGACCTCGTTTTGGGGCCGGATTTCAAAACAATTTATATATTTGGGCTCGTGGGTGATCGGGTTTTGGTCCGAAACTCGTGTTTTGACCAAGCGGGCCCGGGGTCGATTTTTGGATTTTTGGGAAGAATGATTAGAAAGCTATAATTAAGTATTGGAATTGGATTGTTTATCATTTATTGATGTTATTAAGTCGATTATGTCTAGATACAATTGATTTGGAGCCGAATTCGAAAGGAAAGGCGGTGTTTGAGGATTGAGTTAGTCGTGGAAGTTCGAGGTAAGTGTTTGGTCTAACATTAGCTTGAGGGATTAGGAGTTGTCCCTATTTGCTATTTGTTTCTTGTTGAGTATGACGTATAGGCATGGTGACGAGTATCTATATGTTGGTGTCAAGCATGACCGTG